CACCGACTCCCCCGCCCCTGCCCCTTCGTAGTGTCCTCCCCGAAGATATCGTAAAGTGGCTCACAGTGTTGCCCTCTCGTCCCGATTAGAGTTTTTCGAGTAGTTGATTATGATCAATCGAATTTTTGGATAATGAACAATTCAGTAATCGATTTGTAATTGAGTCCAAATTGGACAAAATTTTGCAATTAGGAAGATGTGCGGTGGAATATAGGTGGATAATAGGAGGATGATTATGTTAAAAACTATGAAAATTCGGTTGTGCTCCCTGAATCGTCCTCTCATGCAGTTAATTTCTGTTAAAGTTTGTAACAGTTTTAAATTACATAGAAAATGATTATTGTGTATCGGCCTCAGAGCAAAACTCATAATTCTACACCCCATAGAGCTTACATATATGTTAATCTGGTCCAAATTGAAAGTCAAAAAATTAATGAAAATGAAAAAAAATCCGCATTCGAAATTGTTCAAGTTTTATATCTCTAATGTGTATCGGGTAAAAGTGGCTACGTCATTGTTATTGTTTGGATTATATTCAACATGTAAAATTGAGAATCTTTCATAGCGAGGCCATGGCTCATTGATAATTTGTAAATTTTGGTGATCAAAGACGTGATCACTCCTTATCTTAGTATGGACGTAGCTCCTTTAATTGATGTGATCATGAAGGTGTAAAAAAGTTTATTATCATCGATTTTATACTGCTGTGAAGTCAAGCGTTCTGTGGCTTTTTCAACTGGCTATGACCAGACGTATTCCGTTCCATTTTGATTCCTCAATTTCGAGGGTCATTCCAGTATAAGTTATTACCCTACGCTTGTCTTGTGCCCCTACCTATAATATGTAGCCCAACTTTACAATGTCTTCGTTTCTTAAAGTAACTCACCTAGACTCTAACGTTCCTGTTAATTCTAATCGAATCTTATTCGACTAATTGTTGTTTCGAGGTATCAAGTTGCTAAGTTGTAATGTCTCACTAAGCCTTTCGTTTAAAACAATTTTTCCATCATCATTTGCGCTTGTGAGAGTACATTAAGTATAAAACGACCTACAGCCGAATAGCATTGCAACCTCTTACCTTGATTGAAATATCAGCTGAAATATTTCCTCGTGACAGGCAAGTGCTCTAAGGGTTATTTAGACATGGACAACTTTCAATTTAGTACTCCCCGGACTCATTTTCACTCTTAAAGTGAATAAATAAACTATAGTTAGATATGATAGGCATTGTATTATAGAACTTATGGACACAGGTCACTTTTAATAGTTCCCTTCATCGTGATTAACCATCGTAATTATTTATTTTGTCCTCAATTTCCTATAATTATCGGCGATTTAAAGTGGTATGATCACTTCCGCGGTCGCCGCACGATCGGCGCACAGTGGAACGGAACATTGAGAAAAGTCGGACGTGAAATTATCGACTGGAAATGCACATTTTGATATTTATTCGACACATTTCAAGGGGTGCTTTTGAAGGGAAGTGTTTTGAAAAAACGGTGGGGACTGCATTCTTAGTCGTTCCTTAAACAGCCGTTTCCCTTAAAAGGCCCCATCTAGTTTATACTGTGATGTGATGAAGGAGACCTAAGGAAACCCTTAAAATAGCATAATGGAAAGGCTAATTGGACGTATTTCTGCCAAATGGAACTCTGTGCATTATGGCGTAAGCCCTGTTATTCATATATTCTTATGGGTCTCAGGGCTCATATCTTAGTGCACATAGTTCTGTTTGGCAGAAATACGTCCAATTTTCTGAAACGCTCCACTAAAATCCAACAGTATAACTTTGAAAACCGATCCTCGCAGAGAATTTCAACGATTTTCCATTACAAAAAGTATAAAATAAGGAAGAAAAAATCGTACGATTTTGAGTAACTTAAAGGTAGGTGTGAACCTCCCTTAAAGTTTGCGAAACCCGTGATATATTTTCTCTCTTATTGCGTACTTTTTGTGGTGGTAAATCATTGTAACCCCTTTCAAATACCCATTTCCAAAATTGTACTGCCAAATTTCACTTGAGATTGGCAAAAATTGTCCATTTCTTTTTGCGGTTTTAAAGACCTCCTTAAAGCTCCCTTCCCTTATCACATTGTAAACCGAATTGGGCCACTTAATGGAATGAGCTGCTTTAAGAAACGACTAAGAATAAGACCTGAAACCACTATTAAACTTCCACAGTTTATAGTATCGAGAAGATATAAGCTTTTAAAGCTTCTGTATCATGTGTCGCTTCTCTCATTGGTTCGTCCCACCGTGCGGCGCGTGTCAACCTCTCTGTCCGGCATCATCATTTTTATGGCCATCATTCGGTCGGTGCTGTTCGTAATTTGCATTAATATGTGATAGTGCATGGGAATCGTGCTGAAATTGTGCGCATGCAACGTACTTTAGGTCTTATCTAATTTTTTGTTTATTTTTTTTATATTTCTTTTTTTTAAAATTTTCCTCGTATACGCTTTCATCGACTCGTGGCTCACTTTCTCCCAGAGATCGAAAGGTCTTTTTTCATGTCGATTCTGAAAGTGTGCTCGGCTGGGTCACTTGTCAGTGCCAAGGATGCGAAATGATTTTCTTTCTTCTTTTTTTCCCTTTTTTTTCAAAAATAGTTAAGGGGCTATGTTTACAACTCGTCTCAAATGTTCGAGAATCAGACAAGGAACTTTGAAGTTTCACTCGTGATAGAGCCTTTTTTTCTTTTTTACTCAAATTTGAATTCTTAATTTTTTCTAAGCGTCTGTAGCTTCTTTGGCATATCATAGCGAGTCACAGTAAATTTCATATTAAAATTGTATTTTACAAAATTTAGTGAAACGTTGCATCTCCGGTCAGTACTGATATTGTGCCTGACAATACGGAGGTATTATTTTTGCTATTGTGACATGACCGGTGAAACAACATGCACTGTAACATACATTTATGTACTGCGTGTTTTATATATGTACTTCTTACCCCTAAAACAAGGAAAATTATCCGGTCGACGCGATCAATTCCGTATCATTGCTTCCTAACCAGTACGAATCAACGTGACCAGCAGCCCGAAAACCCCTCATTTATTGTTATTAATATTCCTTTCGAAAAATTTCGCAAGAAATTTTGTGCATAATTGATGTTAAGTAAATCCTGTTTCATTTAGAGTCCTATTACGGCACGGAAAATCCCTGGAAAATCGTTAATTCTCAATTTGTGTAAAAAGCTTCAACGACATTGTTATTCATGTTTTAATGCATTTTAATTTTGTTATAATATTGTAAAAATTGACGTAGATGAAAATAGTAATAATTTTTATTACCAAATATTTTCTTGGAGGTTAAACTTTAGGGATGCAATCTTCGTATTGTTTATTACTATTAACTTTGTAAATATTATTTGTACATATCTTATTAATTAAAAGTGGACATTTGTATGTTAAAGAGAAATAGCTGGTTCCTTTTATTTGTTTTTTTCCCTCATTGACTCAGAAAAAAGGTGATATCTTCAACCGCACCTAAGTTTGCTCAATGCTTTTTGCGCATAGATAGCTACAAACTAGATCAAAGAGACGTGAATTTTTCAAAATTTTACACAGGAGAGCTCCTCAAGTCCTGTATTTAACGCAAACTGAAAGTGCTCTTCTGAAAAAAGGTACTTGGACGAACCATACCACCATCAAAAAATGTTTCCGTGTAGAACTATTTACCAAATCATGAAATATTTTTGACACGAAAAATATCTCTGTACTTCTTCACTAGAAGAGAGAGAAACCTATCACCAAATTATGAAGTCATCAATTCTAGAAAAATGACACACCGACAGGCTTAAATCGTTGATTTCATTACGAAATCTGAATTACATTGGATTTTTTTGAACGCTACAATACAATGATTTCTCATCGCTGAAAGAAGCAAACACACCTTATCATAGTCACAATAAAGTCTTACATCCTCTCACGTTATACCGCAAAAAAATAACCGAACAACACCTCTTCAAAATCTGGGTGAATTTATGGCATTAAATAGAATGCTTCGAAAATTCCATGTAAAAATTAATGGAATCATGTATACGAATTGAAATTTTTGGAAATGACTGATGTGCGGAAATTAAGGATTGTTAAATGTTAATACATCGACGATAAAACTTCCAGACCATGCATCTCGGTTTTTGACGTTACAGACCTCCTTTTATACTTGTTTTTGAGGTGGAAAACCTCACAACGTCAATCTTAAAAACCTCCATGATTTTTCTTTCCTACGCGAAACGAATTCTATGAACATTTTAATAAAAGATTTTTTCAAAATCATCCTTTTAAGAAAATGTAATGGAAGCGGAGATTTTAAAAAAAACCGGGAACGAGATACGCGGTCTGGAAGTTTCATCGTTGATGTGAGTTAGATATGGACGCATACGAACCTAAAATTTACAATGAGCTGAAATTAACACGCACAAAATATTCGCAACAACAATTAATTGCTGCAGACGCAGCCGGAGGCGAATTGCTTGCGCACATAAAACGCCTTCAGAGAGTTATGTATGTAATGAGGTGAAATCAGCACGCACAACATATTCGTAACAACAATTGTTGCAGGCGCAGCTGAAGGCAAAGTGCTTGCGCACATAAAACGCCTTCCGGGAGTTAAGTATGTAACAAGCTGAAATCTGTACTCGCAACATATTCGTGACCATTGCTGCAGACGCAGTTGAGGGCGAATTGAAAACAAACGTATGGGCCTGTTGCAAACTTCATCTGAAGCAAAGAGAAGAGTTGATTTTCATAGAAAATAGCTCGAAAATCAGGAAAATCGCAACGGAAAAGTCTGTTATACGTAATTTCAATTAAAAAAGGCTTGACGAACTCGTTATTACCCTGATGACTTTGAATTCCCCTATATCTTCCGATTTTTACTGACTATAGACAACCTGATTTTCCCTTTGTCCTCTTCGTCTATATCTTTGTTTATCAATTTAAATTGGATTAAATTTTGTA